CTGGGCCAGCTAAACAACAATGACAACTGCAAAAAAAAAAATAGCTGGGCATTGTGGCGGGTGCCTGTAGTTCCCAGCCACGTGGGAGGCTGAGACAAGAGAATTGCTTAAGCCCAAGAGTTTGAGGTTGCTGTAAGCTGTGACACCACAGCACTCTACACAGGGCGACAGTGAAACTCTGTCTCAAAAACAAAAAAACAAACAATAGAAGTACTACATTTATAGTAAGTATTAAATAAATAGGTATTGAATTTAAGAAACTGAAATTCAAACAATCAATACCAATTAATAATTTGATCTTGTAGTATAGATCTCAGCATTTAGAAGTTGCTTAGTGAATATTTGTTAAATCTGATTGGATTCAATCGCACCCCTTTGGCAAGTGATGAAAAAAGGACAGAAACAGGCTCAGCACCTGTAGCATAGTGGTTATGGCGCCAGCCACATACACTGAAGTTGTCGGGTTAGAACCTGGCCTGGGCAGCTAACCAACAATGACAACTGCAACAACAAAAAAATAGCTGGGTGTTGTAGGCGCCTGTAGTTCCAGCTACTTGGGAGGCTGAGGCAAGAGAATCACTTAAAACCAAGAGCTGGAGGTTGCTGTGAGCTGTGCTGCCATGGCACTCTACCGAGGACAACACAGCAAGACTGTCTCAAAAAAAAGAAAAAAAAAAGGACAGAAACATTGCTATAATATTATTGTTACTGAGCCAGATTCAGGATAAACACTGATCCATTCTGGGCTGAATCCAAGGAAAATTAGTTCCTGGAATGATAGACATCTACATAAAAAATTAAGTCAGAGGTGCCCATAGCTCAGTGGTTAGGGTGCCAGCCACATACACAACAAAAAATAGCTGGACGTTGTGGTGGGCACCTGTAGTCCCAGCTACTTGGGAGGCTAAGGCAAGAGAATCACCTAACCCGAAGAGTTAGATGTTGCTGTGAGCTGTGACACCATGGCATTCTACAGAAGGCAACATAGTGAGACTGTCTCAAAAAAAAAAAAAGTGAAGCTTCAGTGTATGAACCTACCTCTGGTTCTATGGTTGGTATCAGATTCAGCTTCATTCTCCTCATTGTCCTCTTCATTAGTGGAACAAGCATCCAATTCATGGCAGATAGAGCTATAAGTAACAAATTAAGAGAATTTTAAAGTTGGCTCTTGGTCAGCATTACCCATCTGGTAAGATTTTCTATAAAAGTTTTTTTTTTCTTGGGCATTAGTTCCTGCATCTATGAAAGTTTTATGTGGCCAGTTAAATTTGGGATATTCTAAAAACCATGACCTTTTCTTAGAGTTTTTTGTGCATATTATCATATTAAAGACAAAAATCTGGTAGCAAAAGAAACTTCTAATCTGTTTAAGTTAACTTTTCCCAAACTTATTTGACCTTAAAATCTTTTTTTTGTGTGTGTTTTTAGAGGTAAGGTCTCACTATGCTGCCCAGGCTGGCCTTCAATTCCTGGATTCAAGTGATCCTCTTGCTTCAGCCTCCCAAGTAGCTGGGACTGTACGAACATACTACTATATCTGCCTTGGATCAAGCGGCTAAGGCGCCAGCCACATACACCTAAGGTGGCGGGTTCAAAT